AGACTAGAAGTCAGTCCAGAGCTTACAGTAAATAACAAAAGATTGGGTAGAGAGATTGCCTAGCTCAAGTGTTTGTTGCAGATGATGAAACTGTCCCTCCAAAGAGAAGTGATGCATCCAAGATGGACACATAGCTTACTGTCCAAGAGGGAGCTAAGAAAACCTTTGCTGACTGAACCTGATCATGTTTAATATACTAAGCTGCCTGTGCCATCTCCTAACACCACACCTGGCTCCCATTCTTCTAATTTGACCTGAATCCACATCCCTACACCGCCCTTCACCTAGTAATCTTGCCTTTTGCACATCAAACTATTTTTAAGCAAATCCTTGCTGATTTATTGGTGGTAATTAAGCCATCTTCTGTTGGTAGCCATAGACCACAACTCCCCTGGTCCTAATCACTGTCCTCTTCCAGGGAGAGAAGAGATTCATATCCATTTGCTTGTATGTCATAGGTGATTTGCCAAGGTAGGTCCTGATATACAAGAAACTGAAAATTTAAATGCTTTTTAAAGACAAGTTATTGTTTTATTGACTCAATAAATAAATATTTCAGTGGCTACCATGTGCCAGGCACTATTTCAGGCTTGAGGAAAAGCATCTCTGGATTGTGATATATTCAATGGAAAAATAGGACTGAATTTACATGGGTTCATTTCACATATGTCTTTACACAGCTGTCGTGTGAGGTTCATTCCCAGGAGAGTGTTTACCATGACAGTTGAAATTGTTCTGATGAGTAACATTTATGGAAGAGGAATGTCCTGTCTATGACTCCCCCCTCAGTGGACCCTAACATATTTGCAGCACCCTGAAGTGTTCAGTCTGGATGTGGAGAGGATGGTGGTTTACACACTGGATGAATGTAATTTCCATCTTGACAAGAAAGCCAACACTGTTGTATTGGTCATGTTTATCAGTTTTTCCCACTGTTTTTCTCCAGCCCCAGTTCCCTCCTCCCTCAGTTATAAAGATTCCCATGGAAAGTGTCCAATCAGATCCCCAAAATGGTATCCACTGCATTGCCAGTAAGTAAAATACATGGTGTTTCTCCCTTCCTACTTACCTCCACCTCTCCCTGGAGGAACTTTCATCTTTAACTCAATGGTCTTTCAATCTAAGGGTCTTACTTGCTAAGGACTCTTATGCTAAGCAGTTTGTAGAAACTGGGCCATGAGGATTGGGACTCCAGCCAGATGAAAACCCCAAATCAAGCTTCACGTTAGTTCAGGCAAAGCCCCACATTCCTTTTCCCTTGGTGCCCCCAGATGCCTGTGGCAACACCTGGCCCTCTCCTGCATGCTTTCAGACCACATTGATCCAAACATGACCCCTGAGCCTCTCAAGCTTCTCAGTGGATGCTGAAATGAATCGTCCCTTTTAGAGAAATAGGTAGCATCACATTTGGACTATACATTAGAAGTAGTTTAGTTACCAGTGGTTGGGCTGATAATGTGTGAATCACAGGCCTCTTCCACCTGCTAAAGGAAGTCTCCCTGGGAGGGACCAGGCATTTATTAGAGCCCAGCCTCAGCTTCCTATTGGACAGTCATCCAGTCATACCTGTCCAGTAGTCTGAAAGATTCCAACCTTGGTGTTCCTAATAAAGGGCTTGTCACTTTCTTCAAAGACCCAGACTCAAAATGCAGCCAGCCCCTCAGAACCCCTGAGGACTTCCTATCACCCTCAATTTTTGAGTTTCCCACCTTCATCCCCCTTCCCATCTATATACCCCCATCACCCTTGCTTACTGTTTCCTAGCCCTCCCCATGCCTCATATCCACCTAGCCTGGCTATGAACTCTTTGGATGAAGGAATAACGGAGCCAGAAGGCACCCAGCCTTGAGACCCAATAACCGCTCCTAAGTAGTGATGGTCATGAGGTTAGACAATAACAGTGGGTGAGAAAAGCACTGGAGAAATAGGATGTTCTCAAAACTGCCCCACATCTGATATTTTAATTTTCCTGCCAGGAAAAAGATCTTCCAGTTGGAGTTACTCACTCTGATTCTTCCTTCAGTGACTCAGAACTCAATCGAAGGTAATCGCCATGAGATAGGTTTCTTGAGTATTAAATAAGAGGCTAAGCAATGGCTAAGGAAGTTGAGGGGTTAGGATCTCCCAGACTAGCCTGTCTCAGTAAAAGCCTTTGCTAGTCCACCACAGGAGACAAAGCCAAGCAGGCCGTGATTATTGTGTGTGAAGTAATAAATCTCGTCTCACTGGCATGACACAATTACGTGATACATAAAGATATTCAACTTTAGAAAAGGAAGTTATTTAAAAACATTAGGTAGACTAAAAATTGACAGTATATATTGAAAAAAAAATTAGACATGCTTTGAGTATATATTACTGAAAGCCAGGATAAATGATCTAAGGATCAAAATAGCAGGTACTCTACTACTCTGTGGAATAAAAGAACAGCATGGTTAGCTAGTAAAGAAAGGGTATTGAGGAAAGCTGACTAAATATCAAAGATCAAGTGGAGACAAAAAGTCAAGGACTCAAGGCTGTTTCCAGGAGCCCTCATGCCAACAATGTGATTCCTTGGTGTTATTATGAGAAGTCACCTGTGAAAAGTGGGACTATTTGATGACTGAAAACAAGGTGGGGTGGGGGGGAGAGCTGAAAAGTGGAAAGGAAGAATTCAGAGGCAAAGTCCACCTTGGTAGTGACTAGGAAAGATGACAGGAGCAGCCCCGCTCCTACTGCTCTAAACTGGACAGAATCACTGTACAATATCAGACATGTGAAAAAGCACAGCCTAGTCCAACAGAGGCAGATGAACCTCCCACATTAGATGGCAACCATCCAAGAGATTTAAAGAATGGGATCATCTAAGTTAAAAGTGAAAGCTGTTACCACAGTACCTGGAGAACACCAATATAGCCTCCTTATCACCAATATAGCCTCCCTAGGCAGAAGGCTCAGGGCCTCCCTAGCCCAGGAGTGCCAATGTGCAAATTATGTCTCTTCCTGCCTTCTCATCTCACCTCCCCAATCAGGGTTCCTATGCCCTTAATGCCACAGGTCTTTGTTAGGGAAAAAGCAATCTGTTTATCCTTATTTTCATTTTAAAATAGCCTACACTAAATTCAGTTTCTTAACTGTCCCAACTTCAGACAGTGGAGAAAGAATTTGGACCAGGATAGGACGTTTCCAAAAGTCTGTTAAATTGCACAAAGCAAAGGGTAAGGTCAGCAATGCAGATGAGTAACTGGCAATGGTACCATCTACTTTACACTTGTGTTTCAAGTCTCTGAAAGCAGATGAAGTCAAAGACCACTAAGTAACAGGAATCCATTTCAGTGAAGAAAATGGCTCAGCAATATGATATAGTTTAACAAAAGTTAATCATCCATATCTTCTAAGCATAAAGCTTAGGCCTGTAAACCTAAGACAGGCCTGTAAACCAAGACACAGTGGGCACATACAGAGAAGGCTCATTGTTTCAAGGGAGGGATTGCCTTATCTGGAGAGTCTAGAAAGAAATAGGAGTCTGCCAGATGTAAAGAAGAGAGAACGGCATTTAAGGCAGTAGGAACAGGCATGAAACATTTGAAAACAGAGGGTGAAGAACACCCTGGCAGTCAAATTAGAAGTAGACAGGAATGCGAGCACAGAACCCGTCCTGCCATGCTATGGAGTTGGGATTCTATTTTGTGAACAGCGGGGAGTCACCATCAGATCTGTGATACACAAAGTTCACTCCGGCAACAACCTGAATAGGTTGAAACAGGGTGAGACCAGTTAAATGCAACAGCTGAAAGCCAAGCAGATAGGGTACTGCTAGTTCCAGTGATAAGGGTTCAGAAGCAAAGAGAACTTTTTGCATTGAGACTTGCCCTAGGGGTTAGCATTAAAGACATGAACACTAACCATCCTTCCTTTTTTCTTCTTGTTCAGCATCACGTTGCACTTCAAAATTTCCTGTTCAGCTTCACCTGCTTTCAACTATTCGCAGAGCCCAGTGTTCTTGGTGCCACAGGTGAAGATAGAGATGGAGTCAGACTGTGACTTCACAGACAGGGACAGATATGGAGAAGTTGACGGTGAGACCACCCTCTAGGAGGAAGCAGTTTCCCCCCCATCCCCCGGGAGGCACAAATAGAGAGAAAGTTCAGTCTTCACTGTGAGTCTGGGCCAAAACACTTTCTCTGAGCCTGGTTCCACATTTACCAGAGGGCGTCATTATGCTTTGATAGAAAACTGGGTATCTGTCAATGAAAAGCATTACTTACCTGTAAAGTCTCCCCTTCCCTTTGTAGTTATGAAAATAATCATAGCTAAATGTGATACCCTATTTTCTGAAATGAAAAAATGCTTGTTTCCCAAAGCCAAAACCATGAGACAAAAGCCAGTTTCTATTTAAAATATCTCATTTAAAAAAAAATTAAAGTATCTAGACAGTCTAGAAAGCTATTAAAATACCCGTACTTCAAGAGACACAGGTTGGAGAATTTGTTTTGTAATTTACATATTAAGAAATGCTGTAGAGGTCCTATCTTTTCTCTCCATCTCATTTAGTTTTCTAAGGATCATATGAAAAGGTCAAATCATTATGGGCCTGGCCCCAGCAGAAGTGTGTCTGCAGCTTTCTTAGACTGTAAAAGTTCCAAAAGCCTTTTAATGAAAGAACCGACATATCTGGGTGGATAAATGTTTCTAATATTTCTAAAATAAATCTTATTAAAGTGAAATTTCAAACCACATACTAAATCAACGAAATGATCCTTTAAGTTGATATCTATAGTTTTTCATGTCCAGGATCAAATTTCCTTATGCATTTTGGGTAGGTCCTTCCTGCAAGTTTTCAATGGCCTGATTTCCAAAGCCAAACTCCCATTCACATGCACACTGCATATCAGGCAGAGTTAATGTCAAATTTTGGATGATATGATCTTTGAAATATTAGACTAGTATGTTAAAAGAAATTATTGGAAGCAAGTTGGGTAGACCAAATCCCATTAATGATGAAGCAAACCCTTTCTTCATGAAACCTAAGATCAGTTGTTTAATATTTAATCCACATTTAATGAACACCATGTTTATTTAATGCCTACCATGCACCTGTGAGCCACAATGCATTTGACGTTTACCTTCTCCAAAGCACAATGGTTGGGATCTTGATGAAATCACTTTGGTTAGGATTACGACACTTACCCAAATTGACAAAAGCAGATTCTTTTTCTTTATTCCTTTCTAGTTTTTAAAGATAAATGACTCCAGATCATTAACATCTTAAGTTACCAGAACAGTTAATTGCCTGTAGAATCCCCAGTGCTGGTGCAGTGCATGGTCCATAGAAAACGCTCAATAAATGTTTATTAAATCTCAGAGCTCCTTTCCAAGGGATACTGCCAAGAGTAAAGTTCTAAACTTCTACCATGTCTACTGAAAAAGCATAATTACTTAGCTACTCACCAATCCAGAACCATCCTCCACGCTTAAATACAAATTCTTAATCTTCATCTGCAGCAATCCTCAGAGAGGTAACAATCTACCCTGACCGTTTCAGTTTTAAAATCTGGCTGATTTCCAATAGCAATAGACAGGGGTCTAAATTAAATTGTAGAAATGTTAAGAATTCAGGAATAAATGTGCTTGATTAATTGAACAAACTGAAAATTACAATGTTAATTTTTAGTTGTTTTTTAAATTGTTCACTGTAATTTTCAACTTTTGTCATTTAAATTGTGTATATACATGAACATTTAATTCCAGTAGCTTTTAACATGTTGATATATTGTTACTTTTCCATGCAGTAGTTCAGTACTTTTTCCCACATGTAACTACAATTCAATAAAACTGAATCCTGTCTGCTCATCTTGCTCCATGTGTGATAATTTCTGTTAAATCAGAGGCATGATTTAGGGACATCAGCTACAGCTCACTTACAAAAAATGTCTCCTACAAGTTATCATCTTTTCATCTCCTGCAAACTGTAGACAGGCTAAAGTCAGCTGCAGAGGAACAAGGAGGGAATAGCTCAGCTCCCAATTGTTCCCCTTCAGTCTAAAGCTGCCTAGAGGAAGAACTGCTTTTGCCTGCATGAAAGCCAAAATACACAGCCCTGGTGGATGATGCACAGGGACCTATCCTAGCCTCAAAATGTGTACAGCAACACCTTCCAATCTGACAACTCAAATTAGTAAGATTGAATCTCATAGAAGCTCTTGACCAGGGGCAACCTGTTGAGATGTAAGACCAAAAGGACCCAGAGTTCTTTAAACCAATTTGTTAAGGCATAGAATTGGATGCTACCAACTACAGAAACACCTAAATTGATTATATCCAATGAGAACAATTAACTGTGGTAAAAATCACAACTAAGATAGCAGCAGAAAGATACAGTATTTCAGAAACTCATCCCACACTTGTGAAAAGTATTTTATTTAAAAAAACAAAACTTTAATCAGAAAGTCTGATTAGACTCAGTATTAACTCAAGCTCTCAAAAAACTTATGGGGCTGGGGGTGGGAGAAGCCAACAGATGCATCAGAGAAAAGCAGGCAGCTGCTGACAATTCTTTGGTGGAAAAGTAAGTTGCATACTTATACAAGCTGCCCTAATGATTATATCAAGCCAAGTTTTGTTTTTCAAAAATAGGCTTCAAGATATACCAAAGAAACCATAGACACCTCCAACGATACAAAAATGTGACAATGAAGTCTGAGGAGATAAGAAAAGTCAAATGTGACAATACACGTGAATAATTTATAAAATGAGACTTCAATCCTAGAAAACTGAAATGAGGAGACCTCATGAAATGGTGAGATACATAAACCAAGGGCTAATAGCAAATGGAACAACTTTAAACATTTTCCCAATGACTAAGCCATGAAATGATAGCTTACATACTATGAACATGTACTTTTTCCTCTGGTTATCAAAATTTTATTTTCCACCCAATCACCATGTTTCTTTCTTGTTACCTTTTCCCTAATTTCCACTTGTAACATTTTTCCTTTGGTTTGACCAGTTGAACTCAAAAGGTTGTGAACCTAAAGTGAGCATCAACTAATTGGAATAGCACTTGGGAAATGCAATCCTAGAAAAAGGCAATTTTAACTGAAGTGGCTTGACAAAGTTAAGCATCCATTTGCAATGTAATGATGTCCCCAGGTTAATCATTAGATTAATGGCTTCAGGAAGCTAGATGGCATGACCCGCATGTCGGGTGCTCCCTGGTGAGGTACTGCAGAGCCATGTGCACAAACGCCCACCCACTTAAGTTTTCAATAAATACAACGCATTTTAAACCATTTCAGTTAGAATAAATAAAAAATATTGCATCTCTATTGACCTGTTTTGCTGCTTGAACTGGCTTGAAGTGCAGTTCATGACACAGAAGACAAAACAGTTAATTAGTGGCCACTCCAAGCTCCTTAGATTTAAGTGCTTCTCTCTCTTCAAGCCTCAGCACTTTTTTGGCAGCAATAATGGTATTTTTCATTAGCATCGCCACTGTCATGGGGCCAACACCTCCAGGCACCGGCGTGATGTAACCAGCTTTCTTCCTGACTTCTACATAGAAACAAAACAGGGAAAGGAAATCTAAGTATTTTAACAGATCATGGGAGAAGCATTCAAAGAAACAGCACTACCTCAATTCTGCCTACAACTTTTCTTAATTTTACTCCATTTATTATATTTAACTATACAGTTTGCCCAAAGCACCAAGCAAAGTAATTTTCTGGAAAGAAGTAAGGTTTTGTAAACCCAATCTTAAAGGAAAAATACCTGGCTAGTCTAGGCTTGGGTCTGTTCAATAGAAACGGAAAATTAGAAATAGATTATCAACAATTATTCAAATACACATGTGAACTGAGGAGAGATCTAGCATATTCCAAAATGTCAAGAATATGTTTTTTGGGGGGGCCTCCCTGGTAGCGTGAGGGATTAAGCACAGCACTGTGAAGTTATCCGCAGCCTCTGCAGCACAAGTTCAATCCCTGGTCGGCCAGGGAGCTACCCACACGGTGCAGCAGACCTCTCCTGGCTCACCCGCTGCTCCCCTCAGCAGTGTATTTCAGTCAGTCTGCCTGTTCTGTTCCCCACTCTGTCTCTGGTGAATCCTCTCACCACCCCGCACCTCTAGGCCGTAGCCCAGTTCTTGTATGCATAAATAAACAAATCTTCAAAAACATTTTAAATGCCCTAACAAGGTAACGTAAGTTTACAAGCTAAAGAAGAAGTAAATGATGTGTCCTAAAATGTCCACTTAAGTAGTAGTTACTGGTTTTATATTTTCAAAAACTTCATTACCTTCAAAATCCACATCTCCTACCAACTTGGGTTTAGCAGTTATGGGATCTTGAACTCTGTTTATTCCCACATCAATGACAGTGGCTCCTTCCTTAATCATATCTGCAGTGATCAGATTTGGAATGCCTAGAGATGGAAACAGGAGTGATCAATTGAGTATTGAAAAGAAAATATCACCTGTCAGATTCTTATTTAATTTTAATTTCAAGAACTCTAGAAGAATTAGCTTGTTTTACAAAAACTATTAATCAAGGAATCATTTAAACTTCCTATAATAAATATTTTGAGGCTTTACAAATAATATTTACCCATCAAGTCTACAATGTAATGCCAGAAACCAGTATTTCATCCACAACCACTGCCCATCTTTGTAGGCAGTTCACAGTATCATTCCTAGGGGAATGGTGAATGGAATGGCAGTGAGGCAGGCAAGGTCTAAGACAAGAGGTCCAGGGCCTCCCTGGTGGTACAAGGGGTTAAGGTGCAACCTATGAAGATACCCGCAGCCACTACAGCACGAATTCAATCCCCAGCTAGGGAGCTACCCACATGACGCAGCACATCTCTCCTGACTCGCACACTGCTCCCCTCAGCAGTATATTTCAGTCTGCCTGTTCTGTTCCCCACTCTGTCTCTGGTGAATCCTTTCGCCCCCCACATCTCTGGCCTGTACCCCAGTTCTTGTATGCATAAATAAATAAATATTTTTAAAAGATTTATTCATAAATCTTTTTTTTAAAGATTTACTTATAATTTTTTATTTTTTTTTAAAGATTTATTTTTATTTATTTATTTGTTTGTTTGTTTATACAAGCACTGGGTATAGTGAGAAGCGCGGGAGGGTGAGAGAATTCACCAGAGCCAGAGCAGGGAGCAGAACAGGCAAAAGGACCGAAGCACACTGCTGAGGGGAGCAGCGGGTGGCAGGAGAGGTCTGCGCGCCATGTGGGACCCTCCTCTGGTGGCCGGGGAGCAGCCAGGGATCGAACCGGTGCTGCAGAGGCTGCAGGCAGCTTTTTTTAAAAGATTTATTTATTTATGCATACAAAAGCTGGAGTATAGGCCAGAGATGCGGGAGGTGAGAGGATTCACCAGAGACAGAGTGGGGAACAGAACAGGAAGACTGGCTGAAATACACTGCTTAGGGGAGGAGCGGGCAAGGCAGGAGAGGTCTGCTGCACCATGTGGGTTGCTCTCTGGTTGGCCGGGGATCGAACTTGAGCTGCAGAGGCTGCGGATTGCTTCATAGTGCAGTGCTTAACCACATTCGCCATTGGGGGCCCCAATAAATAAATCTTTTTTAAAAAAAGACAAGAGGACCATCCTCTCTCTTCTGAGGCCGTCCGTCCTCCTGAGTCAGCCTTACCTGCAGCAGAGATTACAATATCTGCAAGAATTGTATGTTTCTTCAGCTGCTCTTTGGGCGTGTATCGATGAGATATTGTAACAGTGGCATCACCTGCAAGTCACAAAAAATAAATGTTTTTATTTCAAAGTTGGATTGGATTAGGCCTCAACTAGTCAAACAATTGTAGAAAGCCAACCTCTCTGAAAAAAATAACTGACTTACTTCATGTGCTTATTTTCTGGACAGCTAATTATCATTTACTTTTTAAAAATGAATACATGATTTGGGGCCTCCCCGGTGGCGCAGCAGTTGAGCGCTGGGTTGCGAAGCTGCCTGCACCTTCTGCAGCGCCGGTTCGATCCCCAGCCACCGGGCGAGGGTTCCACATGGCATGCAGACCTCTCCTGCCGCCCGCTGCTCCCCTCAGCAGTGTACTTCATCATTCTGCCTGCTCTGCTCTCCCCTCTGGCTCTGGTGAATTCTCTCACCCTCCCGCACTTCTGACTGTACCCTGTGCCTGTATAAATAAATAAATAAATCTTTAAAAAAATAAAATAAAAGACATCTGGAAACACAATTTTGTACTTGTAATGTAATCATTGTGTTCATATTATGTGGGTCTTCTAAACTTAAGCAGCCTGTTCGGCCTCCACTATGGCTATCTGCAGTTCTACATTCCTATACAAGGTCAGAATTGCCTTCAGGACCCGTCAATCAGCCATAGGAGCAGAATCTTAAAAGGTGCCTTTCAAATCAATCAAGAGTAGAAAGCTTGATCACCCTGGAAAGGGTATGCATCAAGAGGTATGACTGGGAATGCCTGGGGGAGGTGGGGGTGCTGATGACGCATGCATAAACTTACTCCGAACTCACACATCATGAGGTATGACCGGGTACACCCAGGGGGCCGAGGACCGATGTATGACAAGGGACCCTAGAAAGCTGATCAGTGGAATGCCTTGTTGATCAGATTAGGACCATGGCCAGGGGTCTGGGGTCTGGTTTCAATTACAACACTTGGTCGCCAAGCAGATAAGAATTATCTGGTCAGCAGACTCATGTCCCCCCGAAACCCTAGCTGACATTCCTTAGTTTCACCCCATCCTTTTTTCTTTGTCCTCCTAACCCACGTAACTGATGCTGTATGATTATTCTATCAATAAAAACAGCCAGGATCTTGCTCTTCAGCAGTAATCTGCATTATGTAGCCTGCTCCACAACTCCTGTTTCTTTATCAGTGTGGTGTTGCCCGACGCAACAATATTACAATAACCACGTGTGATAACTCTTGATTTATGAGGCTCATTTGCAAATTACAGAACTTGACATGACAGATGGCAGTCATATCAATTCAATCCTTTGGAATGGCCTAAGATTTTTTTTTTTTATACCAAATGATAAAGAATGGGACACCACTTTGAATAAACACTGCTTTTAGTTCCAGCTCTCCAAGCCACTACTGAAAATCTCTAACTGCCTACAACCAAGTTTATACTCAAAACCAAATTTACTTCTGAGGTGTATCAATTTCTGAACTAGTTCCATAATGAGTCAGTGAATCAAAAAAAAAACTCAAGTGATACCGAATACCGCGTAATCTACAAAAATTACTCCCTAAATATCTGTTAACAAAATTACAACAGGGCCGCCTTGGTGGCACAGGGGTTAAAGACACAGCACAGGGCCTCCCCGGGTGGCGCAGCGGTTGAGCGCTGGGTTGCAAGGCTGCCCGCAGCCTCTGCAGCGCCAGTTGGATCCCCGGCCACCAGCGACGGTCCGACAAAAAAAAAAAAAAAAAAAAAGACACAGCACAATCAAGAGATCGCCGGCCACTGCAGCACGAGTTCGATCCCAACCAGAGAGCAACCCACATGGCGCATAGACCTCTCCTGCCTCACCCGCTGCTTCACCTCAGCAGTGTATTTCAGTCAATCTACCTGTTGTTTCCCACTCTGTCTCTGGTGAATCCTCTCCACCCCCTACCCCACACACACACCTCTGGCCTGTACCCCAGTTTTTGTATGCATAAATAAATATTTTTTAAAAATTACAACAAATACAAAGTTTATAATAAGGTTAATAGTCAGAGGACAGCCTCTGTAGTTGGCACAGTAGAGAACAGGCCACTCTCCTGAAAGCAGTTTCATAGTTTCTTTACCTCCAGGTCGTTCATGGGCTCCATCAGTGTGCAGTAACATTGCGATGGGCATTCCAACATTTTTCGACCGTCCAGCTACAACCACATTCTTTCCTAGGGTTGGAATGCCTGTGGAAAAATAGATATTTGTATTAAAAGCAGTGCTAGACTGTCTTGGAATGAGCTCCAAAGGAAAAGGAAGGCAGATGGCCTGACTGAGAAGAGGAACCTAAGTCTGATAATGAAGGAAGTCACTAAGTACACTGCCTTCCTTGGTCAATGGGACTATCACTTGCTACCCACAGTGAGGTCTAAAACAAAACTAGAAAAGCACCAAGTAAGCCACAAAACATATATGAATGTGCACAATCACCACCATTAAAGCTTAAGTTTTCTTCATGGAGACTTCTGGACTAAACAGCAAAAAAACTTTTAGGCACCTGCCTTGAAAAAGAAGCTCAGGGGAGTAAGTCTACAGGTTGAGAGGTAGGAGCTTCCACTCTTGGCTACCATCTGACCTTACCATCTGCAAGCATCACTTTTATAACACTGACAGACATGTATATACTTACCAGTTCGCTTAATAATTTCCCACACACCCCACGGGGTAGCCGGTAACATGGAATACTGGTCCAAACACATTCTCCCAACGTTAATCACATGAAAGCCATCAACATCCTTGTCTGGAGAAACAGCATTACAGATCTTTCTCTCATCAATGTGCTCTGAAAAAGAGCAGAGACCTTAAAGACACCGTAGTGAACAGTTAGCACAGTTCGACTCCCACTTATCTCATTTGTCCCAACAACTTACTCCCCTTCTACACTCGCCTCCATGATTTACTTTGTCATCTACACAGTAGGATCCCCACATCAAGCAAAGCCGAATGCCAGAATCAAAGCCAACATCCTCTCATACTGCTTCCCTCCACTGTCTTCTATAACAAGATCTAAAAACCAAATCAATGAGTAATACTCACCTGGAAGAGGCAGCTGAACAAGGAGGCCATCTACATTATCATCATTATTTAGTTTATTAATTAAATTCAATAGTTCATCCTCTGAAATTGAAGCTGGCTTCACAATTGTCTCACTGTTGATCCCTACAAGAAAATTTCAGTTAAAGGAAAAAAAATTCCAGAATTAGTGAGCAATGCTATTACCTGCCACGGTCGTCTACCATCACACCCACCCTGGTAGCTGAAAAGCTTGAATAAATCCACAAGGAACCTAAAAAAGTAACTTCTCAAGTTTATACACTAGAGAATACTAGCATGACAGCTTCTATACATTATTCTATGCAGTCCTCATTAATCTCATTTTATAGACAAGGAGACTGAGACTCAGCAAAACTGAAACACAAACCAGCTAGTACTGAGGCCTGTCTTTCTAGTTCCAAAGTCTACAGTTCTTCCCACTGCACCATGGCACCTCCCAATGTCTTAGAAAGCCACAGCCTGCTATTTTTCTAGAGGTTCTAAAGGTTTTTCAATGAAAGGGCAGGAGGCCTCAGTCCTCAGTGGTGATTAGCATGTATCAAGGACATACAGTTCAGTAACTCTGCGCAGCCACACCACTGGCGTCACAGCCATTCAAAAGGGAAGGACACCTAGTGCTCATACCATTGACTTGGATGAACAGGCACAGCTGAGTCCACCGACCTCTGGCCACTGTCTCCCAGAGTCTGCAGTGAGACCCAGAACATAAACCTCTCTATACCCAGACCTAAGTCTCCTGCATTCAAAAACTCCAGCCACTTCCAACTCCATGATTTAACTGGCTTACGAAAGTTGGTAAAGAAATTGAAAGCTATTTCTCAAAAGCCAGAATCATTTCCTTCACACCTCAGGCTGTGTTCTAGGTTACATCACTGAGATCTGCTCAGTATTCCCCCAGATACCCACGCCTTAAACAAAACAGCAAATGACCAAACATCCCACTCAGTGACTTTCATTATTGATCTAGGAAAGCAAATGTGAACTGTGTCACCTGTCAAATGTTAAGACTAACAGAATTTACCTTACATTCCAGAATATACTGAGATCAGTCTTATCTCCTCTGCCCTAATTTGTAAGCCTCCCCAATAGATAGTCTGATCTCTTCCAAGTTTTGCATACAGTTCAATCACATTAGTCTCTTCTACTTGGGTTTTCTTATCAGAAAAAGAAATAATTACAATGGAATTTCCCTCAGGTAAGCCTCAACAGCAATGAGGGTCCGGGAGTGACACCTACCCACATCTGCAGCGGCCCTGGTTTTGTTGAGGACATAGGAGTGGCTGGCAGGATTCTCACCAACCAGAACCACACTCAGGTGAGGCCGCCTGTTGCCCGCTGCCACCCATTGCTCCACCTCCTGTTGCACTTCCTGCTTGATCTGCTGGGCAAGTTTCCTTCCAGAAATGACAATGGCTTCATTCCTGCAGAAGGGAAATAGCTTAAATTTCTGTAAAAAAGTAAAGATCAGGGGCCTCCCTGGTGGCGCAAAGGGTTAAGCACCGCACTGTGAAGCAATCCACAGCCTCTGCAGCACGAGTTCGATCCCCAGCCGGCCAAGGAGCTAACCCAAATGGCGCAGCAGACCTCTCCTGACTCGCCCGCTGCTCCCCTCAGCAGTGTATTTCAATGAATCTGCCTATTCTGTTCCCCTCTCTGTCTCTGGTGAATCCTCTCACCCCCCGCATGTCTGGACTGTACCCCAGCTCTTGTATGTATAAATAAATAAATCTTAAAAAAAAAAAAAAGTAAAGATCAGGCTACAAAGCAATATTAAAAACTCTAAACTGAAAAAGTTAGATTAAAATGCATGGTGGTGAACCTAGGAGAAGACTGAAATCTGAAGGACATGTTTAAGGTAGTAAATTTGTATCCAGCTACATATTTAGGAGATTACATGTTGATATGAAATAGTTACAATCACCAATCTGAAGCTCAGAAGGTTTAAGTAACTAACAACTAGTACTAGGCAAAGTGGGGTCTCATATTCTCCTGAATGCCTCCTGATCGCTGACAAATTGACAGGCAAAAAAATAAATAAAACCATTGTTTTAAATTGCATTTCTTTGTCCCCTCATCACTATAAGGTTAAATCATTTTTTCTATTACTTACATACCATTTGTAGTTTGTGTTTTACCCGTATTGTTAATGTCCTTTCAGATATTGCTTTTAATTTTTATGCCGCTTTTAAATATGTAAATTGTTATGCAGTTAAACCATTCAACAACATATTGGACAGGTCAACTTTCAAATGCCTACTGTCCCCTCAGCCCCTCCTAAGGAAAACTTTCCTGATAACAGGGGTTGGGAGGGGCACTAGAGAAAGCTCCATCTCCTAGGTGGCTGTGCATCCCCTCCACAACTAGCAAACCAGGGAGTATCTGAAGCCAAGGCCAACAATTTCTAGGCTGGCTGACAGTCCAGCTAGTACAAAAGCTTAGTACAACAGGAGCCATGATAGTGAAATAGGCCAGGAAGAGCTTCTCTCCTTCACACCCTAGACCCATAGGCACACACTAGAAACCACAGAGGACCTGTTGATAGAAGCAGCAGGAAAATAACACAGAAAGATGCAGAAACAAACAGAATAGTAGTCACATTCACAGTAGAAGACAGGATGAGAAAATTGCTGGGGAGTGTCGGGGGCAATGGGAAAACTCAGAATGATCTAGAAGAACCTTCAGTTCAGATCTCTGAAAGGCTACTCTTCCCAGTAAGAACTGGTTATGCAGCTCTTTCTGAGTTCCAATGTGGAAGATGCCTAGTTATCTTATTTCTACACATATCCTGATAATAAAGCTCCCAATAAAGATGGATAATCGGGCCTCCCTGGTGGCGCAGCAGTTAAGCGCCACACTGCGAAGCTGTCTGAAGTCTCTGAAGCACCGATTTGATTCTCCGCCAGCCAGGGAGAACCCCACATGGCGCGGCAGACCTCTCCTGCCTTGCTCGCTGCTCCTCTCAGCATTGTCCTCGGTCTGTCTGCCTGTTCTGTTCCCCGCTCTGGCTCTGGTGAATTCTCTCACCCTCCCATGCTTCTGACCTGTACCCCAGTTCTTGTATAAATTAATAAATAAATCTTTAAAAAAAAAAGATGGATAATCATCTGTTCCTTAAGCAAAAGGATCCCACTGAACCTGAATGCAATTCTTTCTCTTTATATTTCTGTCCTTGGCATCCTGAGGAATGCTCCAGTTTCAAGACCAATGAAACAACTGTTTGAAACATAGAAACAATTTCCCCTTATAAAACATATTTAATTCTTAAGGATAAGGTCAAGGTATTGGACATCTTGGAAGGTCAGTTATGATTAATTCTAAAGAGGACTGTTAGTTAAAATGAAATTTTAAAGCTTTCACATTCCTTAAGCCTTCAAAATGCTTACTTTTCATTTGCATTATGATTACATACCTACTCTAAATCTCAATGTCTTAGACATAATGCAGTAACTTTTAAAAACTTTTATATATATTTTATATATATATATATATTTTACATCATTCTTCCTTTTTGTGCAATGTATGCTTTTTCCTCTCAGGAAGCTTTTTTTGAAAGACTTTATTTGTGCATAGAAGAACTGGGGTGTAGGCCAAAAGTAGGGGAGGTGAGAGGATTCCCCAGAGCCAGAATGGGTAACAGAACAGGCAGATTTACTGAAATACACTGACAAGGGGAGCAGTGGGTGAGACAGGAGAGGTCTGTTGTGCCATGTGGGTCACCTCCCTGGCCGGGGATTGAGCTCAGGGTAGTTAAGGGTTGAGACTTAACCCCTAGGCCACGAGGAAGGCCCCATAATGCAGTAATCATAAATCTAAACCTTATATTAATCTGTATTTACATCTAGTGAGGTATTGAGACATCATTTTTTTTATAGCACACCAAATACTTTAACCCAGATTTTATGTAATGATACTAGCACAGCACAAAAATATATAACATTTCATGTGTACCTATGGCACATTAAAGTATTGAAAACATGTTAGTATTTTCTAATCCATTTCAGGTTTAGAGTTATCTGGTGGGGCTCACAGATGCAAATACCCTTAGCAACATTCCTGATCTACATCAGTACCAGGAATACCAAATCAGAAATACATCCCCAAAACAGGAACATGCAGAAGGAAAGATGACTCAAAAAGGCCTTAGGTGATGTAAAAGGCCTGTGACCACCACAAAGGAAGGAGGAGGATCGGCAGGGAAGTAATAGCTAGGAGTGGCACTGATCCCTCAAAATTTGATCAAATCTATTAGAGTTTGATCAAAGGGTGTTAAGGGGAAATGTTAAAAAAAGGAAAGAAAGAAACCCGAAATGGAGTTGTTCATGCCAGAGCATGACTTAATACCTAACTTAGTTGTAGTTTCAGCCTCTCCCAAAAGTGGAAAATTAAACCAAGCAATCAGGAGTTCCCTAATCAGCACTAGGGAGGTAATCTGTGAAGCAAAGACATTCTACCTTTCCCCCATAGGAAAGTGGCTTTGCCTGAAGTAATCCTTTTCTTTCTGCTAATGACCTTGTCCCAACCTCTTTCTGATACCAAAAAAAAAAAAAAAAAAAAACCCGCCAACCCTCATTTTGAATAACTGTTGTGCCTTTCTACTAGCCAGATAGAATGCTGCCCATTCATGAATTGGTTAATAAAGCCAATTAGATCTTTGAAATTTAACAAAATTAAAAAGGCTTAGGACAGTCATTTATACAGAATTAAACATCACACAAGGTGCCAGACATATATATTCAATAAGATTATTTTTTACCCTCTTCTGTTGATTAAATTTATACATACACATATATATATATATATACACATACACATTTATCTGCTTAATATATACTTATCTAGGTACACTCATAAGGAAATATATGCATATATATTCACTAAGAAGGACTTAGATTGCACTTCATTAAAAAGTTTCTTTTGACAACAACAAACAGAGAAAATGGTAGCAGCACATTTGGTCTGAGAATGACATACCAAAAAGTTAAGGACACAAGGTTTTGGGAGAACTCAGTGTTCCAAGTTGCAAAGGCAGGTTCTGGATGTTATGCCAATTTGCTTAAAAAAAAAAAAAAAAAAGCCAAAAAGTAACAAGAACCAAAAACAAAGCCACAATGCAATGATTATCTTTCATAATATAACTAACTATCTTAGCTCTCCTCTGCCTATATGCCCGCAAGATGGGAAACAGGGAGTGGAGTCAGTCATCACCTAACTTCAAATTATTTCTGCCAAAGGGCAGATAAAGTAACTGTCAGCCCCAAATAAACAGAAATGAAAACTCAGCTCTATCCCACAGAGAATTCACATTTTATTAACTTATTAGTTAACACTTACTTAGGAATTAATATTTATACTGGTGTGTTTAGAACAATTCCCATTAAAATCCCATGAACAGACTATAAAGAAAACTTTTCAAATAAAATTCAAAACTGAAATCCTAGTCAGTAGCATCTTCACTTCCCTCCTGCTAATTCAAAAACTTAAAGTACTGTAATTTTCCATGAAAAGTCAATCACATACATTTTGTAATTCATGATCAAATTATTTGGCAAAATTATCTACTATTTAATAAAAATATTAGTGAGTGAAGACACAAAGATGGGAAAGGTAAACGCTGGGTATTACTCTACTATTTTACTGTTACCTTGGGGTATTAAATCATCTTGTTATAAACAAAGAGAAAGTGGGAAGGGCAGAAGCCAGATTCAAACACAAACTTTATAGATAAAAAGTCTACTTTTTATCTATACACTGCCTCCCCCCCAACGACTCTCTCTAGCCCTGAGGTTTAGGTTGCTGACAACCTCACATCCCATCCCAAAAAGGAACACATGCAGACTCATATTTTAAAAATATTTGTTTTACATTTACCAGCCAACAGTGTTCAAAGCAATACATGAGAACCACAGGGCCTCCCTGGTAGTGCAGCAGGTTGAGTGCAGCGCTATGTAGCTGTCTGCAGCCTCCGCAGCGCAGGTTCGATTACTGGCTGGCCAGGGAGATACCCACATGGCACGGCAGACCTATCCTGTCTCGACCACTGCTCTCCTCACCAGTGTTTTAGGTCCATCTGCCTGTTCTGCTCCCCACTCTGTCTCTGGTGAATCCTCTCACCCTCCCACACCTCTGGCCTGTACCCCAGCTCTTGTATAAATAAAATAAAAATCTTAACCACAAAAAAAAAAAAAAAGAGAACCACAATACCAAATGCACCTACCTATTGCCTTCACAGACGTGGAAAAGCCTACTTGCTCACTCAGAAAAGAAAGTGAAATGAGGTCATTTGTTAATGGTCCTGTTCTTTAGATAAAGAATTAATGCTCTTTACAAATTTCTTCTCAATCATGAAAGCTACAAACGCATGTGATTCAGGAAGGGGAAAGTGAGTGATGCCTGGAAAGTGATGCAAGCAAGATGGGGTTGGAGAGGCAGGCAGGGATCAGACCAAAATAAACCTCGAATGTTCCTTCCCCAAGTCTTTTTTCAAGAAGACATCAACGTACCTTCTCCCAAGCACCTTGGAAAGGTCTCTTCGCATTTTTACACTGAATGGAAATCGCACGTGTTCTGCCTTTTGACAACTAATGAGTGCCACTAAGCAAAGCACAGAAAGCAACCCTGAATTGGCACAGCCTCAGAGGAAGGGGCTGCTATTACAAGGTTTAGGTCTCTCGTCATTTAAAGGCTCATAGTCTGACAAGAATGAGGGTGCGCATATTTAGGTAGAGAAATCACAGACATTTAAGAATGGAAGTTTGAGGTCCAGGGAGACGAGGAAACACTATTACCTCCCTATGAAAAAGCCAAGAGGTGGCCTTCTCGCCCTCCCGGGTCCAGATCACCTCCGCTCCCTCAGGCTGGCACCAAGTCGGCGCCGGGTGCGCCAGAATCAAAGCGCATTTAATTCTCCAGGAGAGCAGAGGAGTCAGGGGAGCCCATCGAGCCACACCCACCTCCCGGAGGCGGAGGGCAGCGCGAGCACCCGCAGAGCAAGCCGACCCCGGGATTTCATCAGACTGCACCAACCCCCCGCGCCGCTAGGGTCCCGGGGAGGGGCAGCTCGCCGAGCTGCGCGTTCGGAGCCCTTCCCCGCGCTCGCCCCATCGCCGTCACCGCTCTCCCAGGGCCACTCTCGGCGTGACCGCCCAGGGCGGCCGGCAGGTACCGGCCAGCAGCCTGCGCGCCATCCCCCGCACATGCCGGCGCCGGAGCCGGCCCGCGCCTTCGCTCGGCCCCGCGGGCCCTGTCCAGCGAGCGCACCGGCCCCGAGACGGGGCGACGCCCTGGGCCGCCAGAGTGCGCTTCCCTCCAAGAGGCGAGCGCCAGGCTCCAGCCCACCCCGCCGGGCAGGCGCCCAGGGCGCGGGCTGCGGCCGCCACGTCGCCCGGACGGGGATGCTCAGGTGAGTCGTCCCGGGGTGGCCCTCCGGGGCCCGGGCAGCCCCCTCCCTCGACTCCCCTGGACTCTTCGCGTGGACCCAGCTCCTCGACCCTCTTTACCGAAATGCCGAGAAGTGGAAGGGGCGGTGGCGGACGCGGCAGCTCTGGGCGGGCCGGAGCAGCCGGGTGACCAACGTGGACACGAGACAGGAGGCGGCCATGGCCCCCGCCGGTGCCCGCGCCGGGAGAGAAGCGCGCGCGCGGGCTGCGCGGTTATACCGCGGCCCGCGTGGCAGGCCCCGCCTCCCAGGGGCACCCATTGGTCCCTGTCGCACCCCACTTGCTGTCTGTTGGGCCTGCTGGAGCTAAAGGAGCCAATGGGCTGTCTTCGTGAAACGTAAGCGAACCCGGTGCAGCCTGGCTGGGAGCTAGAAGAGGACCGGCGGCCTGGGGGCGGGCATGAGTGGCTGAGGAGGGCGAGCCCCCTGCCAGGCCCCGCTGCTGGCGCCCAAGCCCCCGCTAAGCGACCGTCTGTTCATTCATTGACGAAACAAACTTCTGAGCATTTACGGTGTGTCGGGCACTGTAAAGAATGGATAAAAAAGACAGGGAGATAGAATGCCAACTAACGTGGAAGAATGATGGAGTTAGAAAATACCTATTTGGCAAAATCGTAGTAAAAATTGATTCAGAATCACCAAAGGATATCAAACAACTGCGTGAAGTCGGATGAAGAACAAGATATTAGAAGATGTGGTGTATATACACAATGGAATACTACTCAGCCATAAAAAAGATGAACTCGGGCCTCCCCAGTGGCACAGTGGTTGAGCGCTGGGTTGTGAAGCTGCCCGCAGCCTCTGCAGCGCCAGTTCGATCCCCGGCCTCTGGGCGAGGGTCCCACATGGCGCGCAGACCTCTCCTGCCACCTGCTGCTCCCCTCAGCAGTGTACTTCATCACTCTGCCTACTCTGCGCTCCCCACTGGCTCTGGTGAATTCTCTTACCCTCCCGCGCTTCTGACTGTACCCAGTGTTTGCATAAATAAATAAATCTTTTAAAAAAAAAATTAATTAATTAAAAAATTTTAAAAACAAGATATTTACATACAGGGTTGCCAGATCTTGTGACTAAAAATGCAAGATACCCCCATAAATTTGAGTTTTAAAGAAATATCTGTTAAATATTTGAAATTTAAATTCAGCTGGACTTTCTATCTTTTATCTGGCTGCTTTATTTGCATAGTCTCAAAGTATCTTTCAAACAAAATACAAATTAATGCAAAGGGGGAGGGCCTCCCTGCAGGTGCAAGGGGTTAAGCACAGCACTGTGAAGCTGTCTGCAGCCCCTGCAGCTCAAGCTGGATCCCCGGCCGGCCAGGGAGCTACCAGCATGGCACAGCAGAGCTCTCCTGTCTCACCCGCTGTTCCCCTCAACAGTGTATTTCAGTAGATCTGCCTGTTCTGTTCCCCACTCTGTCTCTGGTGAATCCCCCCACCCCACCCCCACCCATATAAAAACACGTCTGACCTGTACCCCAGCTCTTGTATGCATAAATAAATCTTTAAAAAAAAGTTAACACCACAGTGATGGGACAAGCACATGCTTTGTGCCTCCACATGTGGATGCATTGAAGACCTATCACACAAGTCTGAAAACTGAATGAATTGATTTTCCTAAACTAATTGAGATCCTTAGACAAAGTTGCAGTTTTCTCATTTACAATTGAATCACAAACCTGGAATGTTAATACAGTCCAGAAAAAAAATCATATTCCTAAAATTTTGGACCATGCTAGTAGGTTTTAATCAAATCACGAGGGAGGAAGACTCAAATAAGCCCAAACCCAGAGACAATCTGCAAGAAAAACAGCCTGTACTCTGAAAAATCCCAAGGTCATAAAGCAAAAAATGAAGAATTCTTCTATATTAGAAGAGTCTTAACCTTGACAATTAAATGTGATGTGATTCTTCTTTATTCTCTCTCTCACATACACAGTGTAAGACAACTGACAAAGTATTAATAAAGTTTGTAAATCGGCTAATAGCTTTGTCTCAATGTTAATTTCCTGATTTAGCTAATCATTGTGAAAGAATGTACTTGCTTTTAGAGATAAAAGAACATTATATTTGTATACTATCAAATGTCCCAGAAATATACATATATATGCAATATAGTAAATATAATATCAATATTGGTTTGTTAGAGAAGCCATAACAAAATACCATAGGCAGAGTGCTAAACAACAGAAATTTATTGATACGTCTTTGCACTTCAGGAGGCTGGGAGTCTGAGAACAGGGTGGCAGCAGGCCAGGTTTCTCCCGAGACAGCTCTCCTCCCTCCCAACCTGTGGCTGCCCTTTTGCTATCCTCAGTGCCTGCTCTCTGTGGCAGCACACTCTGGTGTCTGTATATCTTAACCTCCTCTTATAAGGACGCAATGGATTAGGGCCCACTCTAATCACCTCATTTTACTTTTATTGCCTTTTTATAGGCTCTATATCCCAATATAGTCACATTCTAAGATATTGGGAGTTAAAGTCTCAAAAAGGATGGGGAGGGGCCACAATTCAGCCCAGAATAAAATAAACACAGAAAGAGAAACTGATAAAGCATGTGGCAAATGCACATCTGGGGAGAGTAACATCTGGGGTGCTGAGGAATATAATCTTGGAACTTTTCTTGCCACCTATTTGTGTGCCTAAATTTTTTTCAAAATAATTTTGTAAAAGAACAGTAAAGCAAGTATACAGTGTCTAAGAGAAGAATCTAAGACAAGAATGTGGTACTGTACCCTCGATGCAGCAGGCAAGAAAGGCTGTTCAGGTCACATTATGTCGCGCAGGGCATGCAGGACTGGGCAGAAGGTGATTCTCGAAGCCTGTCCCCAGCGAGTTGCAGAGAGCAGGCTCTTGCTCACAGAGAACTTACAGAGTGTCTGTGAAGAGGGAACGAACTAGCCATGCCCAGATTGGAAGGTACCTAATCCTCTTACCACTCTGAAAAATATTGGAAATTCTCTTTTCCCAAAATGTGACTTTTGAGAGCAAAACCATGAGAACATTACTATATGTTTTTAATATGCTTAACAAAAGGTTTTGCTTCTGTGTTCCCATAGTATTACATAGAAATATCATTTTTTTTTAAAGATTTATTTATTTATTTATACAAGCACTGGGTACAGTCAGAAGCGCGGGAGGGTGAAGAATTCACCAGAGCCAGAGTGTGGGACAGAACAGTGAGACTGACGAAATATACTGCTGAGGGGAGCAGTGGGCGAGACAGGAGAGGTCTGCGCACCATGTGGGACCCTCGCTGGCGGCCGGGGATCGAACCAGTGCTGCAGAGGCTGTGGGCAGCTTTGCAGCCCAGTGTTCAACCGTTGCGCCACCGGGGGAGACCCAGGAATATCATTTGTGTAACAAAAATACTTAGACTCTGATTTTAAGTCTGTGGGATAAAGGAGCTCAGGCCCTTCTACACAGAAAGGCCTCAACTCGTCTTTCTGTCTACTCTCTTCGCTCAGCCCTCCACTGAACACATCTGTATTTCTACCTGGTGTTGGATTGTCCTCATTTCTTTGCTCCCTAGCAACACTTATTCTCCCCTCAAAGCTGCACCCCCTACCCTAGACTGCCTAACTTAAAGCCATGCCTCTAGGCGTCCACTTTAAGTGACCCCAAATATTTCATAGACACATAGGAAGCATCAGGAAAATAGCAATTTTGCTCTAACACAATACAGACAGAATGAATTACCCTCTCCTCTGGCCTGGCTTACACTATTTCAATGTTCAAAATCACATAAATAGTCACATTATTTATGCACCTGCCTATTTCTTCTGATTTAACCAAGACAATTCATGTGTCATGACTCATCTTATTTGTGCAAGCACAAAGCACATTAACGACCAAATATCTATTAATAATCATTCTAATAATAGCTGAGCTTTATCGCACACCTACAGCATATCAGGCACTGTTTTAAGCACTTTGTGTCTTTTATCTCATTTGATTCTCACAATAACTCCATAAAGTGCACAATAACTCCATAAGGCACAGGAAGTCTAAGGAGCCTGTCCAAGGTCAGAGTGGTAGTAAAGTGGTAGTAAAGGGAAGAGCAAGGATTGAACCTAGATATGCTGGCTCCAGAGTTCCTGCTAGAAATTAGCTACCCCAGGAGCCTCCCTGGTGGCACAAGGGGTTAAGTCTCAGCACAATGAAGCTATCCACAGCCACGGCAGCATAAGTTCTATCCCTAGCCAGGGAGCTACCCACATGGCACAGCAGAGCTCTCCTGTCTCACCCGTTGCTCCCCTCAGCAGTGTATTTCAGTAGATCTGCCTGTTCTGCTTCCTACTCTGTCCCTGGTGAATCCTCTCTCTCTCTCACACACACCCCCCTCCCCCGCATCTCTGGCCTACACCCAGCTCTTGTATGCATAAATAAATTAAAATAAAATTAAAAAAGAGCAAATACTATTTTTCAAAAAAGAAAGAAATTAGCTACCCTGTAGTGAGCATTTATTCTGCACCAGAGTTCAGCACTGTTGCTTTAATCCCAACATCTCTGTGAAATGGTTTTTTTGTTCCCCATTTAAGAGAAAGAACTGAGATTCAGAGACTTAGTCATTTGTCTGAAGTCACTCACCAGCATGGTAAGGCAGCCTACACCCCAAAATGGGTCATGACTGCAGTCTTCCCTTTTGCATGGGCCTGAGTGTTTCTAGACATGAGTAGTGGTATCCAGACACCCCACCAAAAAAGCTTGAAATTACAATAAGTGAGAGAACGGTTGGGTAAGGGAGTCTCTGGTGGAAGGACCCTCAAAGTTGGGAGCTAAACACAAGAGTGTTCCATGTCTGGTAGAACCACAGAGCTTATCAACTCCAACCCAGCCCATTCCTCCACCAGTCAAGCTTCCATTGAAACTGAGTCACCCAAAGAAATCAGGAACCTTTACCATCTCATAGCATTTCTGAGAAAGGGTTATGCCAGGTGCTAAAGTTTCACCCCCTCAAGACCTGGAGCTCATAATATTGAAATATTTCTGTACCAATTGCTAAAACCTGCTCTCCCAAGCCCCGACTATCTCCCACTCTCTAGGGCTCCTCCATAGAGAAGCTCAATAAAATTAATATTGAGCTATGACCCTGTTTCCACATGAGGCCACCCTGGGCCATGCCCATTCATTCTGTATTCCCTAAATTTCTCACAATCATAACATACTCATTTTGGCCAGCGTG